CACTGAATGGGCATTGCCTCAGACAAACTGAGACCTGGGAAAGACCTTAGCTTAAAAAGGTCAACGTCTCCCACTGCATCCAGGGCCATCTCCAGTCGTCCTGATCTATATCTTGCCACTGGACCCAGTTAGGTCTGGAGGAGAAGGTGAGACTGGTGACTTTGCACAGCCCTCCCTCACTTAAATCCAGTTCACTTGCAAGCTGTGACATCACCTTCCCAATGTCTTGGTCCTCTTTGAGAATGAAGGAGAAACAACAATTTCATATGACCTAGTCCCCCATCTCACGCAGCTACACACAAAATTGGTTATACCAATTGATCTTGCTTTCATCCACAAATGCACCATTTCCACATTCATGAATTCTGAAATTCTCTTATTGTAATCTATTGTTATTTCACCTCTCACTCTTCACTCTGCCTTGTAACCCAGATCCTGTTCTTCTTCCACTATGACCTTTAATCCCACCTATCAATTCTCTCTCTCTCTTTTTTTGGGGGGGGGGGCAATCAGGGTTAAGTGACTTGTCCAGGGTCATACAGCTAGCAGGTATCTGAGGCCAGATTTGAACTGAGGTCTTCCTGACTTCAGGGCCCCTGCTCCACCTAGCTGCCTCCCCCCACCCCCTTCCTCCATCCCCTCCTCGGTTCTTTACCAGGCCATCATCCCTGCATTAGTTACTCTCTCTTCCCTTCACCATCTTGATACCTTAGTGAACCAGTTCAACTTTATACCGTCCTCTTCTCCTAAGTTCCTTGCCCCCTTACCATATCACCATTTTGCCCTTCTAATCCTTAACCTTGGATCCCTTTCACCAATCCAGTGCCTATGCATGTACTGCTGAACAAAGCTAGAGAAAGTCACAAAACTGAGCCGACTGAGTCTACTACAAATTTATGGTACATAACCTCAACTGGGTCTTCACTGTGACAAGCCTTATCATAGTGACCTCCCTAATTAACTCACATACCTACTCACTCCTTCTCAAACTCTCTCCCCACACCCTCACAGCTAAGAATCTTGCCTCATTTATTACTGAAAAAATTAAGGTCATTTACCAAGAGCTCCCTGTCCTTTCCTTCTTGTCTCATATCACCCAGATGCCTTGTACTCTCTCTCTTCCCTTGTTTCATTTGAAAAAGTAGTTCTTCTCACCAAGGCAAACTTGTGTAGATACATGCACAAATATTCCCAATTCCATCCCTCCTTCTCCAGCAGACTGCCCCGTCCATTATCCCCACCTTCTCATTCACATTCAATCTTGTCTACTGGCTCTTACTGCCTACAGAACCTCGTCCCCATGCTCAGAAACCTTCCCATGATCCTTCCAGCCCTTCGAACTAGCTCTAGCTGCCATTGATTATTTCCAGTTTTGGTTGCAAGCTGTCTCCCCAATAGACTGTGAGCTCATTGAGGGCAGGGACTGTCTATTTCCAGTGCTGTGGAGCACACAGTGTCTGGAACATATTGACTGACAAGGGAAGGCCTCAAGTGTTTATTAAGACCTACTATGTGCCAGGCACTGAAGCAAGTGCACAAGGGCTATCATCAGCTGAGTTTTTCCATCTTGCCCAGGGTCATACAGCTAGTTAGGACTCGAATGGTCCTCCTAAGGGTCAGAGCTTGTTTTTTTCTTCAGGTTTCAGGATGGACAACACAGGAACTGGACTGTTGCAGGGGATTCCTTGGGAGATCAGCACTTGGGCCATGGAATGGGGGCAACAATTTCTTTTGGAGGGAGTAGGGAGTGTCTGAGCCCATGCTCATCCCTTAACCATGGAAGTTTCCTGATGTTAGAGCTTGGGGAATCATTTTATAGATGGGAACCCTGAGGCCTAGAAAAAGGAGGGGGCAGTTAGGTGGTGAAGTGGATAGAGCACCAGCCCTGGAGTCAGGAGGACCCAAGTTCAAATGGGGCCTCAGACACATAACACTCACTAGCTGTGTGACCCTGGGCAAGTCACTTAACCCCAACTGCCCTCACCAAAAAAAACCAAAAAAAAATTAAAAAAAAAAAAGAAAGAGGAAGGGATTTACTCAAATTATAGGTAATTAATAGAGAGAGGGGGAAGAAAAATAGGAGAAAGGAGACTGGAAGGAGAACTAAAGGAAAGAAGGAGGAAAGGAGGTGGGATAGAAGGGGACAGAGGGAGGGAAAGGCAATTGGAGGAGGAGAGATCCTCAGGGAGGAAGGCTGGAGGGAAAATGGAGGGGGTGGACAGTTGGGAGCCTCACCACCCTATGATGTGGGACAAAGCTGTAGCAGTAGGACCCCAGGGAAGAAGAGAGGGAAAATTGAGACAGTGTTACAGTTGGCTCTTCATCTGCCCCTTGGCTGAGGCAGCCAATGATGGACTTTGGAGCCATTTCTGGGAGACCTTCCTTTTCCTACCTCTTCTGTACAGAACTCATATCCAAATCTCACAGCTAGGCTAGAGAATGGGCAGGGAATGGTTCCTCTAAAAAGGGGAATCTTGGGCTTGAGATTTCAACTCCTTTCTGAGGGGGTCTCCCAGCCTCCCCAGATGTCTCATAATCTGGAAACCCTGGTCTCCTCAGACCTTGGACTTCCTTACATCTCAGGCCACTTCAGATTCAGGTTTTTTCTAGATCCCAGATCTTCCCAAATCTTAGGTCCTGAATCCAAAGTTCCTGGGCCTCCTTACCTCCAGCATTGGCTATACTCTCAAGGGGGAAATAATTAGCAAGTCTGATCCCAGCCTTGAGGCTCAGGGAGCCAAGGGAGGGCTTGGTGTGATGGTCATTAAAGTCCCACTGGGACTTAATCCTCCTTCCCCTTTGTTCCCCATGAACTCAGAGCCAAATTCAGACGTGGGCAGGTAGGCAGTACTCCTGGGATTAGGTTTAATTCTTTTTTTTTTTTTTCTGAGTGAGGCAATTGGGGTTAAGTGTCTTGCTCAGAGTCACACAGCTAGTGAGTGTTATGTATCTGAGACTGGATTTGAACTCAGGTCCCGGTGCTCTATCCACTGTACCACCTAGCTGCCCCTCACTTTTAGGATTATGCAAACAACCTCCAGGGGTGAGTAGCTCAGGGCCAGCTCCTTCATACGTTGGTTTCAGTGGCTGGGCTATAGAGTCCATAGGAGTAATCTCAAGGTGTCCATCTTCCAGACTTCTCTGTCCCAATCCTATTACATATATTTTCATTACACAGAAAAGGGAGAAAACATATAAAACTTGATTCAAGGCAACTGAACTAGGACCACTGGGGAGAATTCAAAGGCAAATTTTAGTTTTTAACCAGAAGCCACCTGAAAATGGAATGTGCCCCAAGAGGTAGTGAGCTCCTTGTCAGTGGAAGTCTCCGTCATTGACCCTTAGTCAATAAACATTTCATTAAAGCTGGAAGCGGCTTTATAGATAGATCCTTTGTCTAGTGCAGCTTTCTATTTTGTAGGTGAGGGTCCTGAAGCTCAGAGGGTGTTCTGATAAAGGATGGAAGACCCTGAGATGAGGGGTTATGGATGGGATAGTTGAACAGGGTGGGAGGTTGGATTCAACACCTAATCCAGTGCTGAGATTCTGTCTTTTCTCCAAAGGACTCGTGATGGAAAATGCTATCCACGTCCAAAGAAAGAGCTATGGAGTTTGAATGTAGATCAAAGCATACTACTTGCTATTTTTTTTCCCTCCTATTGAGTTTTGTTTCCTCTTTCTGCTGGTTCCTCCTATTGGTTCTAATTCTTACTTACAACATCACTAATGTGAAAATATGTTTAATAGGAATGTATATGTATAACCTATATCAGATTATGTGCCATCTTGGTGGGGAGGAAGGGGCAGAAAAATTTTAAACTCAAAAGCATATGGAAGTGATTGTTGATCAATCAAAATAAATTAATAAAAGATTTAAGAAAAAAGAGATTCTGTCTTTTTTGGAAGCTTCCCCTGCCCTGAGTCCATCCACGACATAAGTCCCAACCCCTAAAGGCTGAGAGGGAGTCTTACAAATCACCTAATGTCTCAAGACCTCTAGAGATGGGGTCTTACTTTGTGAAGAAACCTATTCACCTTTGAGGCAGCTCTAATGTGAACCCATCACACACCTGTTCTCTGCCCTTGCTTTGCTTACCATTTACTGAGGGCACACAGGATTTGGAAGCACTTGTGGGGAGGTGGGGGAGGTGCTCTGGTTCCTTGGTGTTCACAATCTGGGAGTCTGACTCTGTCCTGAGCATCTCATACTCTAGTGAATTTCTATGGATCGATAAGGATATGGGGAGGATTTATGAGAGCCAGACATAGGACGGTAGAGCGGGCTATGGTCACTGTGGAAGAAAGAGACCACCAGAGGGCAGCCTTCACTGTTCCTATCTGCACAGCTGGGAGCAGACTGCTGGGAACAGGGACCAGGGAATTTGGGGAAATGGGGAAGGCTGGGAGCCTTGGGATAGCGCAGTTCTCACGGCCTCTGGTCTCCTCACCTGAGTGTGAGATGCGGGAGGGAAGGTAGCGGGTCAAGCCCAATACCCCAGGATCTCCCCCAGCCTTCAGCCTACCTTCAGGACTTCTTGCCTCTGCTTACCACCTACTGGCCAGAGTCTTGGCTGACTTGCCCAGGGTCTCAACAGTAGTGAGAACCTGGCAGAACCCAGAATATTGGACTCCAAACCCAGAGCTCTTTCCACCATGCCTTACTATCTCCAAGCCTTTCAGGCAGGCCTCCCATGTTCAACAGCTTTAGACCACACACCTAGACTTGGGTCTGGGAATGTGACCCAAGGAGGAGTTGAGAGAACTCTGTGGGGAGCAAGGTGTGGGAGTGGGCACAAGCAAATTTGTTCTTTTCCCCTCCTGTGGGGCTTCCCATGGAGAGAGGTCTATTTAGAGTGGGTTTCCAGCTCACCCCAGGCTCCATACAACAGATGCACATAGACAGCAGGGTCAGTTGCTTTGAACCCTGAGCCCAGGTCCCAGCCCAAGTTATAGCAGCAGGACCCATTGGCAGAAGCTCGGAGGGACTGATGATTGGGAAGATGCTAGTTAGACAACTCACAGCTTTCCTCAGCCTGATGACTGGGGTTTGGTCCATCCCCCCAACATCCAAGATGTCAGCTCCAGTACTCAGGCCCTTGCCTTCCAAGGTTTTCCAAGGATCCAGTATTTACTTCCCATCTCCAGGGGTGGGCTCTGGAGATGGACCAGAGATGCTGGTGGAAAATGCCCAGACCTCCCCCTCACCCACCACCATCTCTCAAAGCTGGAAGACCTTTCAGGGCCTGAAAGTGGGAGGCGAATCATGGGAGCCACTTCATCCTGGCAAACGGGAGCTTCAAGATGCTTCAAGACTGAGCCCCCAGGTAGGGAGGCCACAGGAAGAGGAAGAGATGCCTGCTGTATCCCTTCCCCTTAGTCCCAAGGATGTGGTTCGGGAAACGTGCAAGGCTGTGCCCTTCACCCAGGTAAGCCTTCAGGTGGCGAGGCAGCAAGGGGCAGGAGAGTGGAGAGAAGGGACAGCTGGGCCTGGGGTTTGGCCTCATGGCCCCTCCTGGCCATCTGAGATCTGACTGTCTCCATCTCTGTGTGTCTCTGTGTGCCTCTTACTCACCTTCCCCATCTCTCTCTCTTTCTGTATCTCTGCCTCCACCTCTTGGCCATGTCTCCTGCTGTATCTCTCTTTTATTGTGTCTGTCTCTCCCTCTCTGGGTCTCTGCCTGTCTGGGTGTCTGTCCCTTTGTTCCTGCCCATTAGGTGGTCTCCCGGCCTGGCTGTACCTCCGTCCGCCTCCAAAACAAGTTTTGCTTTGGCCGCTGCAGCTCCTTCTACATACCCAGCGCAGGCCTCACCAGGCGCCACCTCTGTAACAGCTGCCTGCCCTCCCGACATCGCCGAGTGCCCGTGGTCCTTTGGTGCCAGGCAGTTGGCAAACCCACCTCCCGAAGGCGGCTGAAGGTGTCCACCTCACTAGTGGAGGCCTGTCAGTGCCACACACATGTGTGAACAGGAGCACATCGAGACCAGAGTGCTGCCTACTGGATGCTCCCATTAGCAGACATGCTTCCCAGATGGCCGCTGGAAGGCCTCTCTGGCCTATGTTGACCCTCCTGGGCTTCCTCTTCTCCCATTCTCCTTACGATGGTCCCTGGCCTGATATAATCCAGACCAGTAGGCCCGATGGTTCTTGGAACCTTGGGCCCAGAGAGTTGATATTTATTGAGATTTAGGTTGCCTGTAAAAACATAAAGGATCTGCCTGCTTGAAATTATCCTTGCCTGTGTCTGCTCATTCTCCAGCCTGGGCACAATGAGGCAGACAGGGGAGGCTGGGCTAGGCTGTGGATGCCAGGCCTTTGGGGAAAATTCCAGGTCTCCATAGGGGTCTTGGGGAGGGAGTATTGGGGTCAAACTGACCTGGAAACCTGGGCTATGGGTCAAGAGGTGGTGGGTGAGTAGGCATAGTGCTCCTTTATCAACCCTCCTTGTCTGGGACTCTGGAGGGAGCTGTTGGAACCTGGAAACTTGGGTTCTTGGTTAGGGGGAGGTGGGGGGGAGAAGTGGGGATGTTGCCCTTGAGGCAGTCCCCCCTGTCTGGGGCTGCAGGCTACCCCCGCCCACCCATCAGTGTGGGGGAGAAGGTGGAGGGAGCCGGGAGCTGTGCAGGAGCTGGAACAGGGCCCCCAAGCAGATGGCGGACGTCTGGCACAGGCGCGGGGACATGTGGTGATTCTGCCTCCTCACTCCCCTCCCCTGGCGGCCCCGCCTCCTCACCCCCCCCAGGAGTGGGGGTGGGGGGCTGTTCTCTACCCCCCTTAGCTTTCTCCCTTCCTCAGGAAGGGAGCCTCCCAGGTGAGGGAAGCAGGATGGGGGTGGGGGCAGCACCACCTGAGGAAACAGATGGATAGGCCAGGGCCAGACTGAGGACCTGGGAGCTGCCTGGAGGGGAAGAGGAAAAGGTTCTGTTCCCCTTCCAAGAACCCCTAGCCCCCTAACCCTCAGCTTTCTCATCCCTCATCTCTCATTCTTCCACCGAAAAGCTTTTATTACCAGTCTCCCCTCTTTTAGCTTCCCATGGAAGTGGAGGTTTCCAACCTTGCTCCCAGGCAAGTAAGGGCTGATGGACTTTGGCACCAACTCCTCCTGGCTTGGTGAGGCTAGCCTGAAAGGCCAGGGGGCAAAGCAGCAGGCAGAGGTGGAGTGGGAATAGGGTTTGCTGGAAGCTCACAGTGGTTGGGGGTGGGCCAGTTCCCAGGATTGATGTGATGATGGAGGTGAGAGGTTGGTATCTAGAAGCTGGACACCGGAAACACTGCCTTATGATGAACCATAGGCCTAAAGTCAGTGACCAATCCTTTCCATCTCTTTGGCCCTTAGGCTTCTGGGATTCAGCTGTCCTTGGCCCTCAACCCCTCTTTGCTTCCTGACTTAATGTAAAGAAAAACTTCCTGACAATTAGAGCTGTCCAAAAACAACTGCCCCAGGAGATAGTGAGGTCTCCAAACAGAGACTGGATGACCACTTGTTGGGATGTGGCTTAGGTACAGCTTGGAGATTTTTCCAGCTTTGACAGTCTGTGGTTCCGGGAGCTAGGGTCATAGGCCACATTTTCTTTCCATGGCAGGGAGGACCAGGATCTCCAGGAACTCAGCCAGTGGCAGGTATGCAGGGGACATTCTTGACCTGCTATCATCTCCCTCCCTTCTGCTCAGTCCATGCCTCTTGTGGGTGACAGAAACTGCCCCTATCCCTGAACTCCGCATGTATGCCCACATGTAGGACAGTGGCCTGGTGGCTTCCTCCCAGCTACCTGGGCCAGCACTGCCTACAGCCCCTCCTCCAGAGTTGGGAAGGATGTTGCTTGCTGTGCCCACCCTCTGTACCAGCTGGAAAACATTGTGTCTGGGGGTGTAAGGGCATCAGCGCCCCTTCCCTGGGTGCTGCCAGCATGGAAGGCCCCTAGTTCCAGGGCCTAGGAATAATGGGTTTGTAATGGCTGCTTGGGGAGTGGGGGAGGGGTGGTGCAGGTGGCACGGGAGCTGGCACTGCGGCTGCTAATCAGCTTTGCCAACACCATCTGTCATGGTGGAGCATCTGGGACTCAAGGTGACCCTGTCACCCCTGGTTACAATTACCAGTTTGGCATCTGTATTAAACCTCTACCAGCCGAGGCTGCTGGGCCTGGGGAATGCAGTGGAGCCTAGGCCTGGGCCCAGAGGGATACAGACAGGCAGAGATGCAGGTTGGTGGAGGGGGGGGGGGGCACGTAGACATCAATTCCACAGAGACCTGAGTTTAGTTGGTCTCATTCATCTCTTATGAAGGAGATGCCTCTTAAGAGAGGATTTCAGGTTTGGAGAGCAGACTCTCATGTGTCCAAGTGTACTTGTGCATGTGTGTGCCCTAGGGTGTGCATGTATGAATGCATACATTTGAGCATAGGTGTATTGGCCATATGTGCGTGCATGTGTTCATGCACGGATGTCTATACTGGGGCATGCATGTATTGCACACATGTGTGGGTATGTGCATGTCTGAGTGTGCATGTCCCTGGGGGAAAGGAACAGGTGGGTGATTACAAGTCGGGGGACAGTTATACCTGAGAACAGTATATCTCTCTGCCTTCTCCAACTCTTTCTTGCCTCCTAAAATTTTTTTCTCCTCTAAAACTTCCTATTTCTCCCTTCTCTCCCTCTTGCTCTATTTGTCTCTGTTTCAAGTCTCTCTGTCTGTACCTATTTCTTCCTGCCCTGTCTCTTTGGGGGTGCCAGCAATAATCTACTGGGAAGGTCTCCCTGGGATGGTTCTAGGTCTGGGACAGGCTGTGTTAGTCCCTGGACTCCATGATAGGTTAAGCTCTGGGTTCTCAACAAGGTTGGCTGCTATGTGCTGAATTTGAGTGAAGTTGAACTCTGGGGCTCTAGAGCTCTGGGTTGGGTAGAACCCTAGGCAGGGCAGGGCTGAGCTCCGGAGGCTGGTGCAGGGACATGCTGTGGACACCAGGGGCCGCCATTGTCCGAGATTTGCTCCCGACCTCGCGGTTTAGGCCGGCCTAGGAGCCCAGGGACCTGGGACCCACAGCTGGTTGAGGCAGGAGCTGTTGGGGACCGTGTTTCTGACAGCTGCACTCTCTTTCTCACTTTTCTCTGCCCCTCTTTATTAGCTAGCAGAGCCCACAGTGTCCCATCCGAACATCCACAGCTGGGTGTGGCCCCCAGCATCCCTGATTTGTACGCAGAGTGTGTACATATACTGATAAGACAAGCACCTTCACAAACTGATCCACACAAAATTTACACAAACACAAGTACAACCATACAAAGGACCACGGGCACATGCTCACACGCGTTCACCCACAGGTAGCCGCAGAGCCACACATAGCATGACCCACTGCTGCATACGCTTCCACAGAGACACCTTCCTACTTGCACACACATACTATCCTCGAAGCCATGCATATATACGCAGGCACACATGCTTCTGAAACCATAAGCCTTCTTTGCACACGTTCAGGTTCCCCTCTCCCTGGGAGGGAGAGGCCCAGCCTGGACCACTCCCGGGGCAGGGGAGAACCCAGGAATCTTGCCACCCACCGGCTTCCCCTTCACCCCCTGCCCACCTCCCAGATTCAAAACCCGGGGGACGCTCCACTGTCCCTTCCGGGATCCCCACTGCCAACTCCGCCGCCGCCTCCTACATCTGCGCCCAATCTGGCGTCCTGGCGTCCGGCACATCTGCCCGCCGAGCCCCGGAGCGCGGCAGCCGTGCAGCCATCTGGAGCCCGCGGGCCGTGCCGTGCCGGGGCGCACAGGGCGGGGGCGCGCGGGGGGTGGGGTGGGTGCAGGGGTGCTGTGTCTGGGACTGAGATGAGAGAGAGAGAGAGAGAGATTCAGACATAGAAAAAGAAACATTCATTCAATAAACGTGCTGAAGTCTCCCGTGGGCCAGTGTAAGGAATTTGTGGGGCACAGAGAGAGGAGGGAGTAAAGAGGAGAGACACACAGAGACAAAAAGAGAGGAAGAGGAGGAGGAGGAGAAGGAGGAGGGAGAGGGAGAGAGAGATTCAGTAAACATGTGCTTAAGTCTCCTGTGGGCCAGGTCCACAGTATTAGGAATTTCGGAGGAAAGAGAGAGGAGGACATAGAGGGGAGAGAGAGACACACAGGGACAGAAAGAGATTGGACAGAGAAAAGGGTAGAGGCAGAAAGACATTCAATCCCAGCTAACATTTGCTGAAGCCTCCTGTGGGCTAGAACCTTGATAGAGACTCTGTGGGACAGAGCCAAGGACTGGGTTAGAAAGAGATGGAGGCAAAGAGACATTTATTCAACAAATATCGGAAAACCCTATGGCCTAGGACTTGTGCTGGGGGATCTTGGTTGTGACAAGGACAAAAGTAGAGGCAGAGAGAGGAAGACATACAAATAGATTGCAAATGTCTGCTGAACTGGGCCGGCCAGGCCTGGGCTAGGGGCTCTTGGGGACAGAGGGTCAAAAAGTAAAGGCAAAGAGAGAGACAGAGAGACATTCATTCTGTTAGCATCTGATGAGCCTCTCGTGGGCTGGGCTGGCCCGTGCTCGGGGATCTGGGGGTGACAGAGCCTCGGAGAGGACGCAGAGGAGGGCAGCGAGACCCGCCCACGCGGGATGGAGAGCGGAAGCAGATGGTGACTCGAAGACGCGGGGGCGCGCTCCTCCGCCCCGCGCGCATGGGCGCGCGCCGCTGCCAGGAATCCCCGGGAGCGCGCCAGTGCGCGCGCGCCTTCAGGCCCATTGGCCGGGTGGCCGATCCCCAGGGACCCACAGGCCCGACCCTCCCTCCCTGTATCCCTGTCCCGTTTCTCGGTGTCTCTGGATCTCTCCGAGTCTCTGTGGCGAAACCTCAGCTCCTCCTCCGGGCGCCGCTCCTAACAATGGCCCGATTCACGCGGTGCCCGCCGGCTCCATGGCAACGCCCCCACTCCCTCCCTCCCTTCCCCCGCGCACGGGCAGCGCGTGCCAAGAAGA